AATGGCAATTGGGTAGGGCAGGGCATGGCAAGTTGTGACATGCTAAGCTTTTGATCCGCCCTGCCCTATTTAGCATTTTTCAAGTTTGCCATATTAAGTCATGCGCTGTCATGCCCTATTTATACTCTCCTTCATNCACTTAGGAATGGCAATTGGGTAGGGCAGGGCATGGCAAGTTGTGACATGCTAAGCTTTTGATCCGCCCTGCCCTATTTAGCATTTTTCAAGTTTGCCATATTAAGTCATGCGCTGTCATGCCCTATTTATACTCTCCTTCATTTTTTTTTTAACTTTTTTATTTTATTTTGCAAGATTCTATTCAAGTTTTTATAACTTTTCGACCTTTTTAATAAAGCTAAAACCCGTTACCTGCCATATCCAATCTAAAATTTTCTATGAAATTGTTTTGACCCGCCCTGCCCCATTTAAGAATTACCCTGCCCTACCCCATTAAGGCTTTGCCCTGCCCTGCCCGACCCAACTTTTGCCCTGCCCCATTGCCATCCGTGCATTCACCATTCCACTGTACTTGTTTGGTTATGTGTATAAGTTTTAAATTTAAAATACAACAATATACCCAATATAATCCCACAAGTAGGGTCTAGGGAGGGTAGTGTGTACACAGACCTTACCCCTGCCTGGAGAGGTAGAGAGACTGTTTACGATAGACTCTCGGCTCAAGATAAGGTGAAAAAGAAGAAAGGAAGAAAAGGAAAAAAAGAAGCAGAAGAAAGATGGGGGAGAAAGAAAGACGAGGGAGACAAAAGACGATAAGGAAAAAGAGGAGAAAAAGTAACATCAGTTAGTTAAAGGAATAGTAGCATCAAATAGTAACAGTCAGGGAGCAACAATTTCCGATAGTAATTTTCAAAATTAATAGACGAAAGTTTTAGATTTAAAATATCAACTCAAATTAGAGTCCAAATAGTTGGTCTCTGAAAACGTTTCTACAAGGGGAGGAAAAGAGAGAAAGAGAGGAAAATTAACACTTCCATCTTTTGGATACCAAAAGGAAATGGTCGTACACTAGCCTCCGTTTTACTCTTCTCAATGTGACTTTATAATATCTGTTCTATTCCTTAACAAAAAGATATTCGTATCGAAAATCAAAGAAGGTTCCAATAATAACACGATACAAATAAATAGTACTAGCCTCCGTTTTACTCTTCTCAATGTGACTTTATAATATCTGTTCTATTCCTTAACAAAAAGATATTCGTATCGAAAATCAAAGAAGGTTCCAATAATAACACGATACAAATAAATAGTACTAGCCTCCGTTTTACTCTTCTCAATGTGACTTTATAATATCTGTTCTATTCCTTAACAAAAAGATATTCGTTCGTCATCTGTCCTGTGAAAGGCTAAGAGATCTACTTTTAATAATTTTCTTCTTAATAACCGTTCAAAGCCAAAACAAGATGTCTTTGATGTTTACAAGAGTTATAATAGTGTTTGAATCTTCTTAATATAAGAGGATCATATCAATCGTTTTCTATTATGTGACACACATAATCCTATACTTATTATTTATCATCATTGTCAAGTTATAAAACTGAAGCAAATCTTACAGTGATTATAAGGATCCAAGATTTTGATATCCCATCTTTGCAGCAATACAATCACTAGTTACATCTAAAATATTAAAAATCATCATTTCCCCGTGAAGAAAAAATCATGTGAACTAATTCTTTTCTTAAAAGAAAAAGAACAAGAAGATACATTTAATTTCAATATGCATGTTTCTTTATTTCCAAGCAACTAGCTAGAATATACATCCATCTCAATCCTTCGGATTGAAAGAGAATCATTTTTGCTTGTGCCTTTTTAAAATAAGAAAACTTTCTTCATCAATACATAAACGCATCATTTAAAAAAAAAACACTAAATTCAAACTCACAATTTCAAGCTAAGATCCATATATAGTCTTTTTGGACAAAAGCAGGTAACAGATCGAAAATTTTCATTATTTATTTCTTGTGAAGTCCTTGAGAAGCTGCAGCTGAGGCACAATCAGTGTTTTGCAACCCAATTCTTTCCCTCTCCAAGTCATACACAACTTCCACATTTTGTTGTTGGAAGCTTCCAAAAATCCCAGCTGGCCCCTCTTTAGAATCTTTCATGCTTTGGAACAACAAGCATTTCACCACCGTTGAGTTTCTTGGTGCACCCATGGCATAGAAGTTATTCCCATTGGGCAAAATAAGGCTCACATTGTTCAAGAAATGGAACGTAATTAAAGGGAAATCATCGGTAACTAGAGTATTAATGTTGTTATTAGGGCATGGGAGTCTATAACAAAGATCAAATCCTGTTTGTGCCTCGGCTTCCTTTGCTCGTGTGTAATTTATTGATGATTGAAAGGTGGTGAGAAGATTCGAGTAGAATGGCTCGGGTAGGTGTGTGTATGTGGTTCCAGAATCAATCAACATTCCTCCATTACCTAAAGAATCAAATTCTCTCAAGGCTAAGGGTACTTGTGTAGTGGCACCGCCATTCCCCACAGTTATGGCCTCTAGGCCAATGTAATAGAAGTTAGGGTACATAGAGCTTTTCAACATAGGAGTAAATTGAAAATTTTCTTTAGAAAAAATGGCTTGTTCACCCACAACTAGAGGGCTAGACATATTAGGATTATTTGCAAACTTGAAAGGCAAGAAGCAATGTGAAAAACCTTTTTGAAGAAACCCTAATTGAGAAGGTAAAGAAAGTGGTCCTTTCCCAAACCCTACAATCCCAATAGGCTCTCTATAAGTTGTTCCAACACATCCAAATACAAACTTTTGGACTTCCCTAATATTAGAATTAGGGTTTGAGTGTACTCTTAGGGTATCCTTAGTTAGGGTTCCAGTTACAACACCTTCACCATAAGTGTAAGCAAAAGAAGGACATGGCCTTGAGCAAGTGCCCTTAAGTAGGCTACTTAAAGAGCATCCGGCGACTGTGCATTGATCGAAAGGGTTATCAGAGCTATGGATATTAATACAATAGTGACTATCACAAAAATCCCTAGAGGAAGAAGATGAAAATGAAGGAGAGAAGCTTGACATTAGCTTGTGATTCTTATAGTCATCACAATCTATACAATCAAAGGATAAGTTTCCACAAGGTACCCAAGTAAGGTCACTCCCTGTATCCATATAAACCTGGATAATTTGTGGGGGTGTTCCCAAATTCAAAGTTATCAAATAACCATCTCTCACTTCTCTTAATGGCTCAATTACGCCGTCCAACGTTTCTGAGGTTTTTTTCACTAAGTTATACGAAGACTTAGGAATCGAAAGGCTATTTTTCGAACGACTTAAACTTAACACCAAGGAAGAAGAAGGGTTTTTTTCCTTAGCATAGCATTGGTTAACATGAACCAATGCACTAGAAAGAAAAGAGAAGATTAAGAAGCAAGTTGAGAGGCAGAAAGGTGTTGTCATTTTTCTTAAAAATGATTTCTTCACATGAAATAAGGCAAAGGGAAGTTGGTATTTATAGCCAATTCTAGTGTTAATGGTGGAAATTAGGGTTTCTGAACTTCTACTTAGGTTTTTTTGCGCTAACAGATGTTGCATGGTGAAGAATGATTCTTTTTTGTTTTTTTGGTCTTTTTGTCTTTTTGGTTAATTTATATACTTACAGTNTGATATCCCATCTTTGCAGCAATACAATCACTAGTTACATCTAAAATATTAAAAATCATCATTTTCCCGTGAAGAAAAAATCATGCGAACTAATTCTTTTCTTAAAAGAAAAAGAACAAGAAGATACATTTAATTTCAATATGCATGCTTCTTTATTTCCAAGCAACTAGCTAGAATATACATCCATCTCAATCCTTCAGATTGAAAAAGAATCATTTTTGCTTGTGCCTTTTTAAAATAAGAAAACTTTCTTCATCAATACATAAACGCATCATTTAAAAAAAAAACCACTAAATTCAAAATCACAATTTCAAGCTGAGATCCATATATAGTCTTTTTGGACAAAAGCAGGTAGTAGATCAAAAATTTTCAGTATTTATTTCTTGTGAAGTCCTTGAGAAGCTGCAGCTGAGGCACAATCAGTGTTTTGAAACCCAATCCTTTCCCTCTCCAAGTCATACACAACTTCCACATTTTGCTGTTGGAAGCTTCCAAAAATCCCAGCTGGCCCCTCTTTAGAATCTTCCATGCTTTGGAACAAGAAACATTTCACCACCGTTGAGTTTCTTGGTGCACCCATGGCATAGAAGTTATTCCCATTGGGCAAAATAAGGCTCACATTGTTCAAGAAATGGAACATAATTAAAGGGAAATCATCGGTAACCAGAGTATTAATGTTGTTATTAGGGCATGGGAGTCTATAACAAAGATCAAATCCTGTTTGTGCCTCGACTTCCTTTGCTCGTGTGTAATTTATTGATGATTGAAAGGTGGTGAGAAGATTCGAGTAGAATGGCTCGGGTAGGTGTGTGTATGTGGTTCCGGAATCAATCAACATTCCTCCATTACCTAAAGAATCAAATTCTCTCAAGGCTAAGGGTACTTGTGTAGTGGCACCACCATTCCCCACAGTTATGGCCTCTAGGACAATGTAATAGAAGTTAGGGTACATAAAGCTTTTCAACATAGGAGTAAATTGGAAATTTTCTTTAGAAGAAATGGCTTGTTCACCCACAACTAGAGGGCTAGACATATTAGGGTTATTTGCAAACTTGAAAGGCAAGAAGCAATGTGAAAAACCTTTTTGAAGAAACCCTAATTGAGAAGGTAAAGAAAGTGGCCCTTTCCCAAACCCTAAAATCCCAATAGGCTCTCTATAAGTTGTTCCAACACATCCNACTGGACTATCTCTTTTGTTCTAAACATGAGTTAGTTGAGATTGTTAACCTTGATGATGGCATTATATTAATTCCTCTTATTTTCAATTAAACTACTCAGAAACGCGACTGGGCTATTTAAATTGATTTTAATTCCAGCTAAGTATTCGAGTTAGAGATGAGTACAAACCTACCCGTAATTATTTTTTCATAACTAGCATGATTTCTATTGAAATATGCATTTATTCAGACGAAGAAAGATGAGTTTTTAATTTCGGCTAATATTTTAAGTGCTTAGATTGATATTATGCTTGTGATACGATGCATAATGTGTTTTCTTAACTTTATTTTCTAAAGCATGTTTCAGAATTTCCTATGTCAGGCTTCCTAATATGACTGGTTTTAGATTTAGTAAAGGCGGCCTCCGGGTATAGATACAGTCAGACACTCAAACCTCTCTATAACAACATCCTTATATAACAACACTTCACCATAAAACCTAATTTTTCCGAAATCAAATTTCATGTTCTGTTAGAATATATATTTTCTATGACAACAATTCGCTATAACATCCAAAAATATCTTAAACAAACTGGAAGTACAAGGGGGGAGGGGTGAATTATCGAGTTTTCTTTTCTGTATTCTAAATAGTTGACTAGTTTACCAATTATTCGACTAGAGATAAGAACAGAAAAGTAATAATGCAGAAATAAAGTGCAGAAATTAAAGACACCGGGATTTTTATACTGGTTCGGATTCAATGTGAATCCTACACCCAATCCCCTTGGGTTGCAAGGGTGCTCTCTTTCAGTATTTGAAGTTTCTCGATTACAATATGGTTGATGTAGCTTTACACTAACAACTTAGTTACTAAGTCACTTCTCTCTTCTAAATACAATGCCCCAACAATGTTTATCTCATTTTTCTTCTCTTGCTAATTACACAACAGATCTAAAGAGAACTACAATGCTTGTTTGGAGTAGAACAAAAAGAGTGATAGTGGTTCAGTCAAAGTATATTTGCTTCAAGCCTGGAACAAATGTATATATACTTCTTGAGACTTTCTTGACTCTTGATTGACGTGAATCTTGAGAGATTACAAACCCAAGGGAGTTGATCCTTGAAAGGAGTCATAAATTGATTCTTTCCAAGAATAAGGTCAAGTTGTTGTTGATCTTCTTTGACTTGTGGTCTTGACAGGCTTAATTTCCGCTAGGCAGATCTTTTTGTTACTTGAGTGATCAACGATGGATCCTTTGATTTCGGGCTTCAACGATATCCAGTGCAGAGCTTCGCAATCTTGTTTTCCTTTGATTTGGGACCTTACTATAATAGCTTCTGTCAATCATCTATTAAATCATTGATTGATTCTTCTTTCAGATCTCCGTTTCTTCTTCCTTTTTCATCTCTAAGCATTGATACTTTTCATTTCCTTTGCTTCTCGAGCTCCCGTTGATAGATTGTTTCCTTAATCCATACTTGAATGATAGGGATTCTTGATTCCTTTGTTTTATCCCTTGTGATCCTGCACCAATAGTGATATATTATTTTTCATTATTGAAACTTATATTTAACATTCTCCCCCTTTTTGATGATGACAAAATAATATATAAAATCAATTTACTTCTCTGTTATTATTGGTGCTTGCTTTGCTGTAGTTGACCTTTAAGTTGACTTCCATAACGTGACAGTCGACTCCCCCACAAAAGGTGCCGTTGTTTGTGATGTGCTTCATATGCTGCAGTCGACTCCCCCTCAACAAGTGCTGCTATTTGTACTGCACTATATAACTACCTTTTCTCCCCCTTTTGGCATCAGCAAAGAGGGAATATATATATATATATATATATATATATATA